GGGGCTTGTGAATTACCTGGTTCACAACACTTGTTTGTAAAAAATGCTGGTAAAAGTGAGGGTGTGCGTTTGACAGAGGTTACCTTGCTCGCAGAGACGTTGGATTTAAAACATTCACCCATTTCGTGATTTTATTTGTTGGGCTTGCTCTCACGTTTGGTTTTTTATATTAAGGTTTGGTCTTTTCTACTCCGCTACTTCTGAAACACCAAGTCGCTTTCTTACCTAGACAGTGGTAGGCAACCGATATGAGGGCACCCGGCTTGAGGACTCTGACCCGAAGTACTTCGCGATTTTATGCACTTCGTCACTCGGATTCGGTAAAACAAACAATATCAGTTCCAAATGGCTCAAGTGACCGGAACTGGTGAGCATTATAAGGGTTCGTTAGTATCGTACAATAGCATATGTCTTACTTGCCTGCAGTCATGGAATTCCGAGAGTATTGATTACGGTCCTAGTAAAACGTGCCATCATCTTCGTATAATGTGGATTGCAAAACATCTATCGACAACTGGATTTTCTTCAATCGGCTTCAGAGACGATTCTCATCACCTGTTGTTCCCAAGAGGAAATACTTCACCTCCCCCGACTTCCCTTGTTTTGTCTACTGTAGACAATAGTACAAATCCTGTCAGTCCTTGGCTAGGTGACTGCGCTTCAATACACGATTTGTAGCACTTTCTTGACGTCACACTACGTATAGCGTTGATGGAAACTCCACCTTGTGAATAGTGTTTGTATCCAGAAAAGCACTTAGATACCGTGGATATTGTTGCAGTTGAGGCGGCCTTTGTGCAGCGCATTCAGCTGAAGAATTCTGGAGAGGAGAGATTCTGCTGAGTCTCCATAAATGCGCGGACAACTCCACAAAGTTGAAGTGTTTCTTTGTGTGTGGCAAGGACGGCTATGTGTTAGACGTTTTTCGTATATATCTATGTGCTACACTGATCCAAACCTAGACGCGAGACCAAAAGTTCCTCCTTGGTTGGTTACTGTTGATCAATTGTTTGTAGTTTGAGCCGGTCAATGCTCTCCTTCTATAGAACTGGAACTCAGTTGCAAGACTCCCTTAACTCGTGCAGTATGCTGTTTTTTTTTCAGCCTGTCCAAAACACCCTCACGTTCCCTCTAGCCAGACGTCGTTGGAATCAGCTGGGTCTGTCACATTTGTCTCACGTCCTTCCAGTTCCCAACCAACACCGCTGATAGTCACTGGACAACCACCAGTCAGACCAGCGTTTATTATCACCAATCACTCGCACAACAACGCAACTGAACAGGTGTTGTCTCCACATCCTCTCCGTCCACAAGCTGGTTTCTTTCCTGACTCACCTGTACTCATTGCCTATCCGGCCGATAAGTTGAGCCATGGAACTCCAGCTGCCCCCAACGGTCAACTTGACTATCAGTCTAAACCAATGCTTGACAAACCAATGCCTTCCTACACGTCTCAACCGCTACCACCATCCCGCATTCCTCCGGAGCATCCTTATCCGAGTCACACCAAACATGTTAAGAAATCCCATAGCTCTTCGTCTCAAAGTCGGCACCACCAGAAGGCATGTTCCCAACGTCGTTGGCCCTTGGTCCAACCTCGTTCGACAGATGCGAATTCACAGCCAGGCTTGGTCGCCCCGGTTATTTCGAATTCACTTCAAGCAAAGGTTGATCCCAACGATTTGGTGAGTCCATAAACACCCATAACTTTCTCATTAGATCGATGGTCAGCCCTATCCCTCAGACTACGGTCGATTATTAGTTCAACATGGAACTACGCAACAGAGCTTTCATTCTTCCACATTAATCCGAGAATCATTGACCAAGGGCACTATATTGTCGTTTTTAGGTTC